GTGTATAATTTGGTAATATAATACAAACAGATCAGGAATATTTTATCTATGCCATATACATATCTAATTTTAATTATGTACATGTAAATCTAGGTTTAAATAGGTGTACTCGTATTAAAGCACTCTCCCTATCGGTGCCCCTGTCGGTTACCAACACAGCGAACGTACCTATACGAAAAGTAAATAAATAATAGATTATTTCTTTAACAAAAGAAAAAGTTTTATTCACGATGAACTTTAGTCCTTTGTTTGTTAACCATTAGAGTGCTCTAATGAGTACGTCTACATTAAACATCTAATAAGTGTATATGTACATTATATAATAAGTGTATGTGTACGTACATATATTGTTGACTAAAACCTACTATAGAAATTCAATTCATTAAAGAGATCTTTTGTATAAAGTCCACGCTTCCAGCTATGCTGTATACAATTTATTGGTTAAAGTTTTACCAATAAATAAAATAAATTTTCCAGCTTCCATCATACTGGAGTACAGAGGCTACGTAATAGTTTCTCGGGCTGTAAGATTACGTTTCAATAATTAATCATTTAATTACAAACTTCAGAGATGTTTCCTTAACTTCTGGAACTAAATTTTATTAGCCTTTCCAACGTCTCAATGGAGTCGTCCTACTTCTTAAATAATATTAAAAATGTTATAAACTTGTTGTATGGCACATAAAGAAATTTGAAACAATATCGTAACTTTCTTATAATGGGTTTTACACAGTTTTATTTTTGCACAAAAGTTTTTATCCGTTTATATTAAAATGGATTTCCGCTGTCACAACGCATTTTCTTTGATGAGTGAAAATTTCCTAACGTCTCAGTAACTGTGACATTTTCATTAAAGTGTTGTCTTCTATCCAGCTGACAGGAAATCATAAACCATTGTTGTATTAATACCATCCAGTCTATCTCGAAGACATTAAAAGGTTGTAGGAGGACGGGGTTTGAAACCCGTGCCACTGACTTGTTAGAACTTTGCTAAGGTGACGAAGCGGCGAGTATTTGATGTTGTTGAGTCGATACCTATTAAAACTGATAGCAATTATTGTTTTAATCTAAAGTCTGCTAAGAATCTAATTTCCTGTATTATTATTAGGTTAATGAGTTTTAAAGATAATCTTACGTTAAGCTTAAAGTAATTCTTTGTAGGTGGAAACTTTATCGGCTTCAGGCATAGTTAGGAGCTGTGTTTAAGACTTTAAAACACGCAAACTTAAATTATGTTTACGGCTTTAGCCTCAATCGTCCTAACAAGTATTAGTATCGTTGGTTAATTGTGCCTTGCCACTTTTAGAGTAACGAAATGAACACTTAACATAAAATGAATACCAACAATTTTTAATCATTTTTCGGGTATGTTCTGGTTTTCATTTTTACAAAAATTATTAAGTAACTCTATTACTACACTTCTTAACAAAATAAAATGTTATACTTACGATTCACAGTTTAGTCTGCTTAATATTTTCTTTTTTTTCACATGATACTAGAAGGTAGAACCGACAACTGATTTAATTTTTACTTAAGCACTGTACCGTAATACACGATCAATAGATATTACACAGCTTTGATTTGCTTAACGCACATTACTGAGCTGGTCAGTCTGTGATCGAAGCCGAGCTAAGTGTAAACCGGTTCAAAACATCAGGGAATCTGAATCTATTGATCGCTTTAACTCCAGTATATTTTATTATTATACCATATTATTATACCATGTATATTTTATTATATTTGAATTTATAAAATAATCAAGAACGGTACATACATTAGTACGTTTCTTTATTTTCTTTATTTCTTAATTGAAGCATGAAATTTTGTATGTACGTGTATATTACATTTCCATTAAGAGTACAGTACAGTTTTATTACAGTAGGGTTACTCTAATAAATAATACCATCAATTTGTTTTATACTATATACCTGTAACAATTTATTTTAAAAACTCTTTCATCATCATCACCTCAGCCTATGCTTGTCCACTGCTGGACATAGGCCTCTCCCAATAATTTCCAGCGGGGACGGTTGATTGCGGCCTGCATCCAACGGTTTCCGGCAACCTTAACCAGGTCGTCCGTCCATCGGGTAAGCGGTCGTCCCACACTGCGCTTTAAAGTACGTGGTCTCCAAAACTCTTTAAAATTGTAAAATTATATGCATGTCAACAGTAGTAATAAAGGCTTACTGAGTTCTATCGATGATATTTTTGCCTTTCAGATGTACAACAAAGCAAATAAAGGTATGTAAAGAAACAATAACAGATCACAATATTTTTTTACCTGCAACCATTTGCCTTTGTCTTATAGATTTTATGTCTCTATTTTATCTTAATTAAATCTTGTTAGGTTTTCAGTATCCATATTAGCGTATGATTTTTATTGTTTAATATGAATTTTAGAAAAATAATAGTGCGTAAGGACACAGTGTTGTAAATTTTTCACCATTATTAACCTGTCTAGTAGCTTTGAAAGAATGTCCTTAAGTTTGTTTACCTCATTTCTATTCAGACTCATCAACTAATTGGAAACTAGAATTGGACTGCTTATTTGAGATAGAGTATTTTTTTTATTTTTATTTCTTTTCACTTTCGACATAGAAACCTTTTGTTTGTCTACTTTTCCGTGCTTAATAAGTATTTATTTCGTTTGCTCATTTTAAAACACTAGCCGTAGTTCACTTCATAGTTTTACTCGCGTCTATTGTCACTGTTATAAACCTTAGAGTCATAGCATGATATTAGTAAACTACAACGTCTTTTAAAAATTGGGCTCAAAAATGTATCAAACCAGATTTATCAGAAAAAAAATATCAAATCAGATTTATCAGACAAAAATATCCAGATATCAGATTCCAGAGATTAAAACGATTAAACCGAAAAAGTTAACTCTTTTGATTTATTATTACTTAGTATATTATTAAACCCAAAATCTAAGTAGCGTGCAATGGGAGAGGCCTATGTCCAGAAGTGGACTGCGATAGGCTGATGATGATGATGGTGATATAATGATAAAATTATAGTTCTATTCCTTGCATGTGTGTTTTTTCTGTTTACATAAAGAAAATTCTCGCATAAGGAATAATCTTTGTCACTACTGGACGTTTTATTTCTTACACTACTCGAATAGGAATCCATACATGATCAATAAATTAAAAAAAATAGAAATAACGATTAACGAATAACGATTTCTATGACCTAAAATTTGTTTAATTTAACTATTCCTAAAATTTAGAAGATCAGTATACTCTTGCATAACTTATCGAGAGGGAAAGTTGATAGCGTTCCTCGGGGATTTAGGACAGCGCCTAACACGCGTCACCAAGTCTCCTGCTCCAAAATGTTCGTATAAACGGTGTCATTCTATAACGGTATCTGACATACAACGTACTTGATGTTATCTTAATATCTATTTACATGATCAAGTAGGTATGTTTACCTACTTACTTATATAAATAGACATAAAGGTTTGTAACATAATTGATAAAGTTTTCTTTTCTAATTGTTAAATAAATACCTGGTCCAAATAATAGAACTGGTTCTTAGTACATAGGGACCTGAATATGACATTCTGATGACTATAATCAGCAGCAAAAAACGTTAATTACGCTATCGTAATTTCCTTTTTGTTTTTTGTTTCGCTGTTTGCTTTGTTCAATGGGGACGTCTTTCGGGATCTTAACAACCATATAATAATATATTCTTTCTCACACTTTTTTGTTTCCGATTAGTGTTAATAGCAACAAAACTTATTCTACAATTATAGCAACCCTCGAAGTGATTGATCTTCATGCTTTAGAACTTATATAAAACTTTTATAACCATGGAACAATCTACACATCAATCTAATCCGCTAATAAAACTGTCCAAAATGCTTTACCCGTGCCAGTAACGCATCGAGACTCGCGCTAAACATGTCTTTCAGAATGTGCTTCGTGACAAGGTTTGAAACGACACCTTACAGAACGCGATTCAAACTTTATCCCTCAAAATGTAAAATGACCCATTTGTTAGCATTTTAACGAAGTCACTAGATTCTATATCCATTATTCAGAATTTAATGGTTTAAAAATAATAAAATGGTCGTGTAACAAATTGTTCTTTATTTTTAACAGAAATCATGCCAGTAAAATTACTAATTATAGTACACATTAACAACGAAAGCATATGTGTTCTAGATCAATATATACAATGGGAATCGTGATACATAGCAATTCAGGATATGTAACGAGTATAGTTTGCTCAAAATTAATTCTATACAAAACTTTTGCAGTATAAATATGTACGCAATCGAACAACTTATAGTTTAGTTCAGCAGTGGATTAATATCTCAAAGATACCTAAGTATTAATGCGAAAACTTGTTTAAAAAACTTAAAACTCTTGAAAAGCAATTCATTTAACTATATTACATTTTTATTTAATAAAGATATTTAACCCGCCAATGTTTACTATAACTTCAACATTTCCGTACATATTATAAGGTTTTGTTTTTTTTGAAATAATTTTACAAAAAAGATATCTTGACTAATATTATACTTTATATACATCAGTAGATAATTTCTAAGAAGGCGATTCTAAATTTTTATTTACAGTATAACTTTAGACTCTAAACATTCAAATAAAAAACTTTAATACGATTAGCCTTTACTGCAAAAATATAAATTTTGTACCTAATGATAACACGTTTGTTTTGAGAAACATCAACAAAAATATTTATACACTATTTATACATAGCATTGACCGAGATATGTTTCGAAGACTTAATTCAATATTTTACTATAAAACCTTAAAAATATTTACTAGCTATCTGAGTTGTACATTATCATATAAACAAATATCGTCTGATTAATAAATTACTGAGTTACAAAACAGTCAAAGTAACCGTTTAATTACATGTATGAAGGTTGTTGAAAGAATATTCCACATACGCAAGGAATAACCCAGAGTCGTGCCTGCGTCTAAATCACGTTTTGTTAATAAAAGAGTTGAGATAATTTATCACGTTTCTGATTGCATTAGGGATCTGAAGAAGAGGGCGAGGGAAAGTGTTAACAGCATTACACTTTGCGCAGACGCCTCGCTTGAACTTCTCACTGAAACAAACAAGCTTTGTTATTCGAGTTAAATGACAAGACTCCCTCAAGGGAACTAATATACAGTTGGACATCGTAATAATGTACCAACATTTCATAGTACAGTGGGTAAAAATATATTTATGGCTTTGTACTTATAACTACATTGTATTTTTCATTCAAATTTTAGAGTAAAACCTTTTCAGAGAAGTGTTGGATAGTTTAGGAGGTGAGTGGATAGTTCCAGAAACTTTCAGAATGCTTCACGTAAACTATTTAGTACAACACCAAATTAAATTTGAAAAGCCAACACATTTAGTAATTTCTGATATCCATTTTTCCTCTACATAAAGAGCATAATGACCAAGGAATAGTTTTTATTCAATTTCAATGAACATATAGTATCCATTAATTCATAAGATTATTACACCAATCACATATAGAATCAATATCGAATCAAATTGCTAGAGGCGAATTGCACGTTTGTAATTACGTTTCTCATACATCCGAGTACAATGTACGTACTACATTAATAGTCAATGTATGTGAGTTTATACTCGCGTAAGTAATAAATTGTATAATTCTACGGTTTATGAGATGGATATCGGTCTATGCTAATGTTACTAAAACGAGACAGATTCAACATTTTTTTTTTTGTATCAATAAAATAGTTTGTTCGCTGTAATGAGTTTTGTTTTAAAGTCTTAATGGTAATGAGAACCCTTGATTTCTATTCATTAAATGAAACTATGTTTGTTTTGTTGTTTGTTTGTTTTGTTAAAACCTTAACTACTTCTACATTCCAATATATTTATGCGAAAAAAGCACTACTCATGTATCCCAAACAATTGACATAATCTTTGTAATAAGTGCGAAATCGCTGGAAAAAGGTCAAAAGAAAAAATAAATAGGCACATATTAGGTAAAAAAATGAAATTTTAAAAAAAGAAGCAGAGCACTTTAGAAGTCGATGCCCTAAAAAGTTCCATGCGAGTAACATTGACAACTCACAAGTGACATGGCAAAGTGGTAATTAGCCAACCTAGTAGCAGTTTAGCATAAAATTGATCAACTGAAACAATTTTAAAATTATTTACTAGTAGTGATCTAATAGGGATGGAGGATAAAATAATTTTATTTCTTCTTTAAATTCACACTTGCAAGTCTGAATTTAAATATGTAATTGTGTAACATGATGGTAAAATGTTAAAAGTGGACGCCCGGTGCTTACTGCAGGTTAGGTGGCGAAATAATTATATTACCTGATATTTTATAGCGTATCTAACTCCTTTGCACGATATGTGTGAGGTTATTATTAATATTAAAAACCTTAAAAGTAGTCTAAAGTAGTCACTATAATCCATTGTAGTCTTTGTATTGATAGTTCTCCTTCTATCAACACCGTATTTTTTTTAACATATAATATTAATATTAACACCATATAACCTTCTTGTAGATATTACATTAGTATGTTCATTAAAGCATATAAACACAACTTAATCACGCTACAAGGGTTACGTTGATACAGAATTGCTTATGTTACTCGATTGTAGAATCGTAAACAACTGTAATATTTAATTTTGTGATTATTGCATCTCTTAGGATGAAATAGTCCTAATTACTATTGCGATATCCTGGAACCAAACTATTTTTAACACCACATTACACTAAATTATTAGCTATTTGGTCTACCATTCACAAGTTGTACCTACGTAAAGTTTCATGATGAATCTATTGAATAATTTAAATATAAAAGTACAAAAAACCAAACAATTGGCATTCGAATTTTAATTTACCCTTGCGCTAGCACCTAATTCGATACGAAAATTTTATTTTAATGGGCCTTCAAGATTAATAAGTACCAACATGCCGAACGGGGAATACACTCCCGAACCCATCTATCAAAACAGGTATCTTGACCGGCTGCAGCGAGCGCTCTACTGAGGGCCTGGTGTGATTTTATTTCACATCAACTCGCTCTGGACGGCGAGCGCGTTCGTCGTTGCAATTGGTGAAGATTTTAGCGCGGGCCAATCGTAACACCGGACGCTATCACCGTGACGATTGAGTAGATGTAAAATAAACCCTCACTAGGCCCTCTGACATGGCGGTGTACAATCTCACCGAATAACTAACTAAGGATAACACATTCAAAATTGTAAAATGTTTTGTTTATAGTCAAGCTCCTATACTTTAGGCTGTTTAATAAAGTACAAAAAAATACTTCTCCTACGTGCATGGGCACTCCAATACAGATTTAATTGTTCGATTTCCAGTTATTGTTAGAGTTTGGAAAGGCGGATAACATGTAATTAAAATACTGTTCTGAACATCTCTCTTTAATTTTTACTGAAAAAAAATTAAAATATTTTACACACACATATATAGTCAATCCTTTTCACCGGTAAAACTGAGTCCGACAAACAATGTCAAGCTTAGTAAGACTAGGGAATAAGATTGTTAAGTTATAAAAATATTTACGTTGTTTCAAAGGTCATAACTTTATTATGAGGAACTGTTTACCTGTGTTTGTAACCGATCAACAATATTTAATGCTACAAAAATATTTTCATTTTATTACCGAGAGCGACATCATTCTGCTACATAAATTTTAGCGAGTTTATCAAGTTAAAATAATATATATCGCATTATACCTAGTTACAGTACATAGTAATAATTTTCTATTAAAATTAAAGATATAATCCTAATAAAACAATGCAAATGTGAAGACAAAGGCATGTTAGAATTCCAATTAACAAAATCCTAGACTGTTTTATATGTGTGTAGGGAACCTTTTTACTGTGATAGAATCTTCTTCCACCTTTATCACATACACCAAACAACCCAACAGTTAAAACCTGTTTATATAGTATAGCAGTAAACTACCTACTATCCATGCTAATATTATAAATGCGAAAGTGTGTTCGTCTGTCTGTTACCTCTGCACGCTTAGACCGCTCAACTGATTTAGATGATATTTGGTATAGAGATAGTCCGAGTCCCGGGAAAGGACATAGGGTAGTCTTTATCCCAGAAATGAGCCTTTAAGGGATGGAAGGAGGGAGGTGGCAAATATTGTGATTTATTGAAGTATGCATCGTCCAGTATCTCATTTAATTAGGAAAAAGACCGCAATGATCTGAGCCTCGCAATAAAAAACATCTGATTTAATAGTATCGTAACAAATGCTTGCGTTACTAGACATATGGGTATGGTAAATAAAATTCTTAGTAAAATATGCTTCTATTAATTGCTATAATCATGTACTTACTCGTCAAGACCAAATCGGATCAAGAAAAAATCTTGTCAGTCTGACATGACATGATCCATCTAGAATCTTTTTATTCTAGAGAAATAGCTGGTTTTTCACTCAGCATTGAAATCAGTGTACATCTCAAAAGTTTTATCCAAGTTTTAATTAGAAGGTATAATCAAAACTGCTAATGCGGGCACTTATGAGGTACATATTTAAAATTAAATTATAAATTATTTATGTTACCAAATTACCTAAGAGCATAGCTTCCTTGCTGTCAGCTAGCTGGCTGTTGCCCACTACAGCCTCGCTGCCTTCCCGCCAGGCTGGCGCTACTCTAGCTGTACAGCGAACCTGCATCGTTTTACCAAATGGTACCCGGAGGCCTAAGGCTGCTGAAAGTAGACCGTGCGCATGTTGGATAGGTGGATAATCTACCAGGAGAAGAGGATCCGTGACCTGCAAAAAATGACTATAGTCAATAAAAAATTCTTTGTCTTAAAGGGATTGCATAATATAATATATTACAAATTATACATTTTAAATTATACATTTAAACTTGATACAATCCCTATACCAACCCGTCTGGCCAGCGTGGTATAGAAGGCCAAAACCTCCTTTTTAAGGAGAGGCCTATGTCCAGCAGTGGACTGTTAAAGGCTGTTGATGTGATGAAATTATACATTTTAAATGTAAATAACTTTATTTAACAATATTACATTATATTAGGCAATAATTTCTATAAATTCTGAATTCATTTAATATTTAAAAGTTGGGTGGGAAGCGGGCGCTTTGTGATATTTTCTATATTGACTAATATATTACACTTCTCGCCCGCATGTCGTTCCGCCCCGTCGATTGTTTCAATCAACCCCTCAAACTAAAGTAGATAGATACAAGCTTATAATTAAAGCAGTCGATGTCGTCAGAATTTTAACGTTAACTAACTAAATTATTCTTCCATACCGTCACGTGTTGCGTTTGTTGGGTGTATTTTATTTTATTTTTTTAAACATTTAAAGGTCCGTGTGGTGACGGATTAAGAATACAGAGTGTCACCACCTCTATTCATCCCGTGGGTGTCGTAAGAGGCGACTAAGGGAGCAAACCACGCAGGACAACAGCACTGCAGAGAGAAGGAAAACTTGACACAAACCCTGTACCAACCCGTCTGGCCAGCGTGGTATAGTAGGCCAAAACCTCCTTTCTACGGAGAGGCCTATGTTCAGTAGTGGACTATTAAATGCTGTTGATGTGAAACATTTAATGGAAAAATATTGCTTGAATTTGAAATGTATTAACAATAAAAATATTATGTAAAAATATACTTATATATTTATCTTAGAGATGACGTTTACTAATATCAATTTAGTTTTTTCTGTAAACTGTCAGTCGCAGATACGTGAAATTTAGACGTCGGATCTCGCAATGAAGAAACGGAGAAAATCAGCGCTACATAAACACACAAATAGAATGAACCTGAACATAAAAATAAAATAAAAACATTTTAAATACAACAATATTTTTTAAAAATGCTACCACTTTTCTTCGAGAGATGGCGACGGCATTAATTGTTTGTACTATAAGCAATTGTTCACATCGCATACTCATTCTATGTAACCGATGAAAAACCTGTTTGGATAATATGCCCAACAACATTTTTAAACTAACACATCGAGTAACCATTCTGTATTTAAAAAAGGCGTATCAGAAGGTCGTCAAAGGACGGTCGAAGTTATAGGTTTCGATAAATATATAAAACGCCGCACCTGAGTATACGGCAGATATATTTCCCCCCTGGCAAAATAGATCAGTTTTTATGCTTCTTTCCTGTTAGTAAAAGTTATTTCAATCAAGTAATATACCCTCTGATATGGTTTCCCATACCTACTCACTGAACCTGTTGAATAAATCACCGAATTTATGGGAACAGATTGGAAAAGTATCTTTTTACAGCAATAATTAAGAAAACCTCAATACAACCAGACAAGTGCAGTTTGTAGCCGAAAAACATGGAAATGCTCAACAAAAAAAATTGGTTGCCTGTAAAGTCGGTATGCGGTCGAAAGTTTTACGTGACAACGACTTTGAGTGGTAAAATAATTTTAATGTGAATATTCATTCGTATAGTAGGAAGAAGGATGAAATAATAGTAACAATTTAAAACATTTATTCTCTCTCACTCTCTCTCTCTCGCTCTGTCTCTCTCGCTCTTAGGCGGGCTAACTGTGCTCGACTGGAAGGGACGCGTGCCTTTCACTTTTTATGTCTGTCTCTCTCGCTCTTAGGCGGGCTAACCATGCCCGAGTGGAAGGGACGCGTGCCTCTCACTCGCTCTCATTGTGAGCGCATAACGTGAGCGGAGCGTAACGCAGTTTCTTGAAGTGTCACCCGGCAAACCAATTTATAAGACGTTGTCACGTCAAAAGCGACCAGCTACCATTAGTATGTAGCTGGCCTAGTTTATAAATAGATTATTGGAACATAAAGTAGGCTGCAACAGATTGGATTAGAAGCAACAGATTGGATTAGGACAACAGCACTACAAGGAGAAGGAAAACTTGAAACAAACCCTATACCAACCCGTCTGGAAAGCGTGGTATAGTAGGCCAAAACCTCCTTTCTAAGGAGAGGTCTATGTCCAGCAGTGGACTATTATAGGCTGTTGATGATGATGTGATAGCAGAAGTGGATTGTTTGAGGAGCGGAGGATTCTAATGTGATTGAAACATAGAAATTTCAATGAGAATGTCAGGTAGGAAGGAGAAACTGGCGAGTTGAGAATAGAATAGAGGGTGGTGATCGCGTAGCTGACGGCGCTGACAAACTATGAGCCAGTTCAATTCGTGACGAAAGGAGGAAACATGGTCGTATTTACGAAAGTTAAAGATGAATCGAATGCAGTAATTCCGGAGGCGGTCAAATTTATCGAGAAGATCTGTATTCAGGTTATAACCTACATCACCATAATCCTGTAAAGGGTCAATTAGGGTTTGTACTAGCATCTCTTTTGTCTCGGAAGGAAGGAAGGTACTAAGCCGATAGAAAGCCCATAGCTTACCCGTAACTCTCTGGTTAACACTGGTGACCTGGGTTTGCCAGCCGAGTTTGGAGTCGATAAATAGGCCTAGGTTCTTAACAAAAGGACTGACAGAATGACAACGCCGTTAAAAGTAATGGATGGCAGTTTATTTCGGTCTAATCTTCCAGTCATGTGATGACTGCTTATGATGATGGCTTGGCACTTCGCTAGATTCACAACCAAACCAAACCTAAGCGTAAATAGCCTATATTGAATTGATATAAAAATAACTAAACACAACAATATAGGCGCCCCTCTACATCCCTTCTAGTTCCGGAAATGACAATCATATAAAGCGAGAAATTCTCTGAATGGGACAGGGAAATGAACCCATTTATAACGTGAATCTATTTTTATTCATCATATGAAGAATTCAAGAGAATAAGCTTCGGTCAATTAATTCACCGAAATGGGTAAGAGTACAATTGGTAATCTATGAAATCGGTTTTAATTAGACGTTATGAACGGACAAGAGATAAAAGAGGGTCAAACAATGTTCGCTATTGTGAAATCACAATTAGTACGGATGCTTGGAATAGGAAGCGATAAAGTATTGTGGCTTTAAGATTGGCAGTATTGAGCATTACTTTTAGTAGAATAAATTGTTTTTTTTTTTGTAAAATAGATAAGACATCCTAATGATATATAATCTAATATGGATTCCAGATAAAAGATTTATTACATAGGATTGTAGTGACGTTGACGAATATACCCAGATTTAACTTCAGTAATATTTTATTACAATATGCGATACGTTAATAGTTCTTGGCTTACGGAATAGTCACTAGAGACAATACAAAGATGTCATTCCTCTTTTAGGGTAGAGAAGAAAACGAGCAGACGGTTGACCGGATAATAAGTGGCTATCACCACCCACAGATTTAAGAGTCACATATACGTTATCACTCTTGGAGCCCCCCCCCCACAGAATTAGAAGAATAGGATATGGGCGTCCAGTGACGACAATCACCTAAAAGACGTAACGGCGATTAAGAGTCTTAGGTTGTCTAACTTAAAATTTATTAGAAACCTTTACGTAATCAACGGTTACAATCATTACACCTTATATATTTTTATTAATTTTAAAATAACTCACTCCTGGATGGGAATCGAACCCACGACCTCCGGTTTTGCAGTCAGGGTCGTCACTAACCGCTTTACAAACAGGCTCGTCAAATACCAAAAGAACACAGCAACAGGGACTTTATAATCACAGACTAATATAATGAATATGCCGTTGCATATTCATTACATTCTCATCTCTATTTTTATATGTGTAATAGTGAGATAATTTCATGAATAACATTTAGGTGGATGACATATGAAAAGCAACACTCAAACGTAGTGTTGAAGTCAGTTACCAATACATATTGGAGATGAGAATAGATTCAGACGAATTGTGAACCTCCTAATTTTTTGAAGTCGGCTAAAAATAGACGGCCAGACGAGATATTTCTACCAATAGTGACCTCAATGGTTTTACTCTAGCCAGACCTATCTAAATATCATTACCAACCAATGTTGAAGATTCTCAGTATTTTCGTCAGCAAAATAGTTGTTGGCATACCCTCAAAATTGTAGTTCATGGAGAACTTTACTTCAAAGTGTACATGACCCTTCAATTTGGAACATTCAACACTATAATTGTTCATAAATTTCATGCTTACTAAGGGTTGTGAACAGTTACTTTGTAAATTGATTCATCTAATAAAATACTACGGATTCAGTGTTGAATTTCCAACAACCTAACACTTCAGACCGTTATACATGCTATAAAGCGAATTAATATTGATTAAACATTTATAGAGAATGGTCGGAAAGTGCACGAATAAAAGTGAGCTTTGAATATTTTATTTTAGCGCATTTTTACTTCCTTGAACATTCGTTTACCCCATTAAAACAATGATTTACCACCTAAAAGCAGACGTGATTTTGTCAAAATCACAAAAACCATAAAATTGAAAAATAAACCCAATCCGTCATTTTATTAAGCCTTTGTAAGGATTAGAAGTCCAAATTAAAAAAAAAACCTTTGATAAAAGAAAAGGTAAAATTACTAAAACTCATTTAAAGGGTCAAATTTCAGAATGAAGCTCAGCGTTGAACTAATAATTATGTTAATAACGACTTTGGGCCTGTAATAAAATCTATTACGCGCTATTATATATTTCAGTCAAAATTAAAACAACTTAATTAACTGACGGAATAAATTATAGAGACCATTTATAATTTCATTCTTAAACATTTAATTCTATCATAAAACAGATAAAAACCTTCATCGTAAATTCAATAAATAAATTGCTTTATACTTTATTTCATAACGTGGACAGATTTTATTGGTACTTACTGGGCGTTCGTTAAAATTTTATGTTTTATTTCACATTTTAGTAATAAATAGGTCATTAAATACGCATAGTATAAACTGGTATCAGATTACCCATTGATTCCATTTTATGATTCATATTTATTGGGTGGTAATCTATCTATGTAAAGGGAATTCATTAGGTCAAAAAAATGCAGCTATATGGAGTGTTAGATTATTTAAGCAGGTAAATCAGCTTGCGTGGTTATTCATTCACGCATTGAAGTACACAAAATCATAAAAAAAATAGAAATTGTAATATGACTAAGACCAGGATCAATCTTCTGCTTCATATTGAGATATTAGGTCTGAACCTTAGCCATCATTTGATTACTTTTATACCTTTGATAGCCAAGACAAAAGGGATTCATATAATATAGCAATAAGTCCTACATATTAGATTGGATGATGATGATACATTTATAAAAATATTTTGTTACAATTAAATTGAACTAGTCTAAGCAAGCGCTTACAGTCTCGCCCTCAGATCATACACTTGTTTGTATGATTTGAGGTCTCTACCTACTAGTACTGAGTTACGCGTGCCCAACTATCAAAACTCTCCTCTCCTCTCATGATATTACAGCCACTGCTACTAGAGATATGGATGAGAAGAAACTTTGTCTGGGATTGTCGTATAAATCAAATATATGTGAATAAATTCATATATTGATATAAAATAATTGATTTATATGTAGTTTTTTAAGGTTCCGTCAGTAATAAAGTCTAATATCATTGCGTATTTTCTCATAATGCCGATGTAGATACCGAAAATAGCTATATTAATGTGTATATAACCGAGCTATTACATACCAAATTGTTTTGTTTCACAATATTTACCCTAATATTCTAACATTCCTCATAACATCAGCCTTTATTTATTAAAATTCATATTTCAGTGTTTACATACAAAATGTTAATAGTACCTTTTCTCCATCAATGTCCCAACTGAGAACCGCCGCGGGGTATGACCGACCCGACGTACAGTTGAGGAATAAGGAATCCCCTTTTCTATTTTCTTGTTCATTGCCTGTTATTCTTGGCCCTTCCCGAGGTAAGTCTGTAAAACAAACTTATAATGTATTCTATTCATAGCTGTCAGTTAATATAGATTTATTAATTGTATTTATCCTAATGGTGATTGTTTTAAAGGTTTTTTTTTTTCGAAATCCTACCTACAACAAAGTTGCTTAAGTAAACATTTCACATTGAGATACATATGTTGATCGAGTGCAAAAAGAGAAAAAAGAGAAGTGGTAAAAAGAGAAGATGAAACAGCACTCTAGTGCAAATGTGATGCATCGCTTCGCATGCGTATCGATAACGTACTAGATATAATATTAAGTGGCACCAGTTAATTTTAACTTTATAAAATCTTGTGTGCTTGTGTGCTTAAAGTTACAATGTTCTTTTTTACTCATCCCACCGTACTTTTTTTCAAGAAATCAATGGCTATGTCGGACTCGAACCGACCAAAAACCGCATGCCGTCTCGGGTACCAGTAGCTGGAGAACTAGGTGTACCTTTAAAAGAAATCCCTGGTACCCTGACGTACCTTAAGCCATCTACGGCGTGTAGATGACCCTCTCCTGTGTGATTCCCACCGTACCTGGTCATCATTTTCTTTATGACAATTCGATATTAGCCTACTTTTGACGTAATAGTAGTAGTGGTAGACGATGTGACAAGACACATGATGGATATGTTTATAATAGAACCTAATCCTTTTTATTGCTGTAGCAACGGATTTTTTAACAAAATAGTAAATGTACATAATCATGGCTTCTACAAAGGGTTATAATAGTAATTAAAAAAAAATAGATTATATATATTTCGAACACAGTATTTTGAAGTTAAATTGTACAAGCTTTATGTTTTCGTTAATAATGGGATCCAAAATTGAAAAGAATTATAAGAATTTAAACATGTAATGTTGCTTGACATTGAAAATAAAGCTTATGATTTGCATTTTGTCTTCTATGAGTCCAACAAGTCAAGTCACCCTACACTCATGATTACGATGTCAATCTTAAATTAATAAGAATAAATAACTATTTACATATAACTTCCATTCTACCCTCGCCAGCTGCTGACGCAAAGCTTGGAGCTTCAGCGGAGACCTCGCATCTGTACAGTCCACTTGACTTAAGTGTAACTTGATGGAGAGTCACTCTTCGGTCGTCTGACTTTTGTAACTGTGAACAAAAATAATATCTCTTTATCCCTTGTTTTACGTAAGATAAAATGATGTGACTTACTAACCTTTACATACATATAGCTTAAACAATAGGGATATGAGTGTATATATGTTTATTAAAATTATTAAACTGTCTAAATGTTTGGTATTCGAAACAAATAAATTAACATAAAAATCTTAACTTTTTAATAGAGAAATAAGAATGTAACTTTTTTGTTTGTGTGTAACGGACAAACCTCTTTAAATTTAAAATTTCCACCTTATGATCTTTATTATCATAAAATTTTAATTACACATTGTCATGAATGTAGAAAAATAGTTTAGTGATAGTTTTGTAGAAATCTTTTTGCACGAAGTTTGAAAACCATCCCTTTCTTTAAATAATAAATTTATTTTTTTTAATTTTATTGCGGTATTATTTGCGTGTTGGTACGTCGTTTATTATGTCAAACTAGAGTAAAGAAAAACGAAAATGTTGTTTTCGTCTTTATGTTCTAAGCAATCTTTATGTTCTTGTAGAACCAAGGAAGGAAACTTTCCCTATGGTGTTTAATGTATATAAAATTATAACTTTCTGGCTTTCGCCCGTGGTTTGTGTCGGTGGGTTATCGCTATGAATAACAGCCTATGTCCTTCCTCAAGAATCAAACTAGCGCTATATCAAATTTCATCTAAATCGGTTGAGCGGTTATTGATTCCCCATACAAACTTCTACCCCCTTTTCACTCCCTTAAAGGATGATTTCTGGGATAAAAACTATCCCTTGTCATATATATATGTCATAATACATTTACGAGCCACAATGATGGAGGATGAACCAGAAAAGCGAAAAGTGGCAATATTTTTCCACAATTTAGAATAAAGAAGAGACGACACCATTACTTTAGACAAAGTCATACTCCTATAGTTGTTCGAAAATTATTTTGTCCCGGAGTCAAACATAATTTTTGCGCGTTACCAGATCTTTACATTTAAACAAGACAATGAAACTATTGAAGAGTATCTCACAAAATTAAAGTCGAAAGCACAGACGTGTAATTTAGGCAAGTTAACCGATCGACTCACTAAAATTATTTTCATTTGTAATATGAACGATAAGTACAACTATTTCAGACAAAAATTGCTCAAAAAGGATGAATTAACATTGGATGAAGCAAAATCATTGGTTATAACACAAAAAGTCATTCTTCGGTTATTCAAAATGAGACTATAAACAAAATAATGTACGTAAAACATAATATCGGTCAAGGAGTCAAACCAAGCGCAAACAATTGAGACAAAAATCAAGTACAAGAAGCAACTCTGCGCAAGGCTCAAGGTGCAATCAAGTGCATAAATGCAAAAGTCCTGCGAAGCATGCACAGTGTAAAAATTGCAAGAAAGTAGGACACTATGCTATGGTCTGCCGCTTTAAAAATGTCAGGTACTTGGAATCTAATGAAGGTATTAGTGCTGACTCTGAAAAGGTTAGAGCTAGTAAAGATATGCCACTTCTTAGGAATGTTAAACTATTTGAGTCTTTTTATTAATAATTTAGCTTGTAGCGAGTAGTACTGCAGTCGGCGCAGTATTACTTCAAAATGATCATCCTATTTACTATTCATCACAAACTCTAACAACAATTCAACGAAGAATGACACAGATAGAGAAAGAGCTTTATGCAATCGTTCTTGCATGTATCAGATTTCAATAATTTATTTATAGTCAGACAGTAACTGTAGAGAGACCATCGTCCATTGATTACTTTATTTAAAGAAGCCTGCTAGATTGCAGAGAATGATGTTAAAAATACAATGCTATAGTATTGATGTTGTATAAAGAGAGGTACCCAAATGTATATTGCTGATACACTTTCTAGGGCCCCTTACCAGCAACACAGTCAGATGATCTTGATGAGGATGTCGTTGTTCATGTCAATTTATTATATGAGTCTCTACCCGTTTCCGAAGAACGTCTAAAATGGTTAAAAGAAGCACAAACAATGATTCGAGTCTTTAAATTCTCAAGCGTTACTGCATAGAAGGATGGCCATCATGTAAAAAAATAGTATAGTGAAATAGATCAACATACGGAATATGACTTACTCTTTGAGAGTAATAGTAAAATAATACCAAAAAGCCTAAGGGCTGAAATTTAAAAATAATACATATTGGTCATTTTGGCATAGAAAAATCCAAATCATTTGCTAGAGGTGTAGTAGTTTGGCTTTTTATGTCAGCAAATATAAAGAATTTAATTGAGTCTTGTCCTGTCTGTTTAAAATACAAAAACTAGAAGTGGCAGGTTTAGTAAGCCTCCCAAGAAATGGAATTTATGTATAGTGACAATTTAAAACAACTTATGATATTCTTTAATTTTAATTCTCCTTTAAACGTAACTATTATACTCAGTGTAAGTCATTAGTTTGTAAATTAGTTTGATTCTTAAAATAATAAGGTTATGTTTATATTTTTGTCATTATAAGGAGGGTGTTGAGAGATCTGTAAGTCTAATGGCCTGTAGTCCATGGCTTGTGGTCTATGGCCTGTGGTCTATAGTCAGTCAGCCATGTCATTGGATTGTAGTCGTAACATAAGCTCTAATAATAATGTCTAAACTTATTAAACAAGTGTCTCTATCATAAAAGTCTTTTTAATTATAATGTCAGAGCCGAAACAGTGTCGTCCCATGTGGGGCTTGAAACCACAACACTCAACGTAGTAGGAAGCGGCGTGGCGACCTCTGAAACTACTACGCCATTCGTGCAGTCAAACACACTATCAGACTCAAACTATCTTTATACCCAATTTCATCTAAATCAGTTTAGGGGTTTAAGCGTAAAGAGGTGACAGACAGACAGACAGACACACATTAGCATTTATAATATAGGAATAGATATTTCAACAAAATAAACATTGACTTAAAGAGTTCAGAAGAATTTCTGATTGTTACAATGCATTGTGCTTACATTATTTTAATTATAAGTTCTTTATTCAATTCCCTGTTTATATTATTTAAGCAAGAAATGTGACATTGACTGGCGGGTTTGGCCTAGTCTTTAGTGATCCTGACTGCTAAGCCGCAAGTTGTGGGTTCGATACACACCCAGGACAGCATTTAGAAATATATAAATATGTTTATCACAGTCTGGTTACCATAGTACAGACTCTGACTAGTTTGGGTTCAGACGGCTGTGTGTGAGACGTGAGATGTTATTTTACATTATTATTATTACTACTGCTGAAATAAAGAGCAGACAATCGACAATATTTGGCCAAATAATCATCCGTTTTGTGTCTAATATGAGCTAGTAAGAAATTCAAATGAAACAAAGAACATATTATAAAAACTTAAAGAAATTTTCTCATATGAGTATATTCTCTTAAGTTAAAATATGAAGTATACGTCTAGAACCAAAAACATTTATAGAAGTGGGCAAACTGAAAGCATTAAGCCGCAATGCAGAGCGTGGTTAATAAACGTATACTGATTAGTTATGATTTTTGTATATAGCTATAGATAATACCTCTTTCTATGCATTTGTATACTATGCAATGTACGTGAAGTCCTTATACATTTAAACACTGAATTAATGAATGAAGTAATAATGAATACTCGTAAGTCTGGTTTACTGATAGACAACTTCTATTCATTGGTGTTGTGATAGATTAAGAATACGGAGTGTCACCACCCCAATTCATCCCGCGAACTACGCAGGACAACAGCACTGCAAAGAGAAAGAAAACTTGACACAAAACTTATACCAACCGGTCTGGCCAGCGTAGTATGTTGGGCCAAAACCTCTTTTCTAAGGAGATACCTATGTCCAGTAGTGGACTATTAAAGGCTGTTGCTGTGATGTTGTGAAAGTATTCTAGTTTTTTAATTGTAAAACAAGCATCTCTTAATTTCGCTACTGTCTAAAAGCCTTACCTGTCTCTAGCCGTTTGTTTTAATTAGTTTGTAGTATCTGGCATTCATTGTGGAAAAACAAAGCATATTTCAAGTAAATTCTGGTTATTAAATACCTCAATAATTTTACATTAAAATATGATATAACAAATACAAACAACACAAATTTACGCTAAAATACTATCGGCCTTTTTAAGTTGATAAAACACAAAGAGAATATAAAAAACCTAGCCGGTTCTGTTTCTGTCCAAAACCAAATATAATTATAATATTTTATTTAATATTCAGAAATGGAAAAAATGTAATGAGCTAATTGCGAGAAGTCATACAAAAGTTGTTTCATTTAACGAGCAACCTGCACGAACGAGCAGCGTTACTGGGACAAAATACTTAGACGTTGCTGTAATCATCTTGCTCAGATGTTATTGAAATATTTACTGAAATCATTTTAAAAATGTAACTTAATTTAACTTGACTTGCATTTCATGTTATTCTAATCACATCATTTGGTTATTTTTCATAACTTTTAAAGCCAGCAGATAGTCATATTAAGGAGCTTCATTTAGGCTAATCTGTGATCTGATTCATAAACTAAAACAGGTAGCAAGTACGTTGTTATCATTTTAGCACAATAAGATATTAGAAAGATACATTTTGACGAAAATTAAGAAAAGTCAAGCATAGTAATATTGTGACAGGAATAGGTTTCGAGGCGCTGGACAACTCTACACGTATGGTGTGACTGTCGCACGTTCGAGTTTCATATTTTAGGAAACTTGTTGAATTCTGGCGCAGGTAAAAACGTCCCGTTGACTTCGCAAAAGTCAAAGCCTGTTTTCACCAAGCTTTGAACAGTTAATATATTACTTATAGAAAAAGTTTTTTAGAAAAAATCCTGTAAGTATCACATTAAATCTCAGAAACACACAACAATTATTCCGTTTTCAAACGAACGTTTGAAATGTGTTAATTTTATTGGTGTAAGTGGGCTTGAGATTCCGGCGCAGGACAGATTTATTGTTTACCAGGCAGCTTCTAGCTATATACGTACATATCGGAATGTTCTGGATTAAAATTTAGAGCTGTTTATTCTGCCTTGAATTAACT